GCCTCTCTCCATGGACATGTTTGTCTATTCTGTTTCTGTCCCTTCTCAGTGCACTCCATCTTAACTGCCCAACTTAAGACTGACCCTACTTCAACTCCAGATCCCACTTAACCCTGCCTGACTGTGTTTCTCACAGCGGTCACCACCTTCTAGCACGTGATGTATATATTGAGTCTCCATGCTGCAAGGGCAGAGACTTTTTCACAGTAGTGAAATAAACACATTTAAAAAAAAACCACTTCTAACAGGGTCTGGTTCAAGTGTGCAACCTTTGGTGTGATTTCTTTCTATGGTGAATAAGTGGCCAGTCTGATCAGGTGAAAGTGCTCCGGGGTCAAACGTACCACTTTAGATGCTGTTGAGATCTCGGTTTGAGGACTGTGCTTTTTATAATTCCTCTCAATCATTATTTCCAACAATTTTTTAAATGGAACACCTGATTATTTTGTCCAAATGTTCTGTGCACTTGATAGTTGTATTACTCATTATAGGTAGTTACAACACTTTCATAATTAATCTTTAATTGCAATACTTGCATAGCATTTCAGATGAAAAATGATATACAAATTAAACCCACATCTCACCTTGGATAATTATCACAGATCTGACTAATGTGCACAGAGCCCTGGCATGGCAGGGGGCTCTTCTCAATGACAATGTGTTGATTTTCTAATTAAACAAAGGTTCAGGAGCATTTTTCCTTGAAGACCTATAATTTAAACTTACGACATTTGCCACCAAGAAAGGTTTCTACAAAGCAGTAAATTGAACTCAACTTCTTCTGATTCTGGTGCGTTAACATCTTTTGCATAATATATAATGACCATGCTCAGGATAAAAGATTTTTCTTCGTGTCAAGTAGATCAGGAATTGCGCTTTCCAGCTCACTGAGCCACTTAAATAAATCAGGATGCCACCTCGGAAGAGAAAGAGCTTAACTTTAGTGCATGGAGAAATGGCACTTCATTCCCCTGCTTTATAAACGTAGTCCAATGAGTGACTAAATGCAAATTACACTATACTCATATATTATTGCTATAGGGCTTGGTATATGGCTCAGAGTGCTTGCTGGCATGCACAAGGTCCTGGGTTCAATCCATAGTACTGTGCAAAGTAAAAAAGATATGGGGGCAGAGGGGGGAGGAAAAGAGTGCAGGAAGGACAGAGGGAGGAAGGAGGGATTAAAATGTTAAGCGAAATAAAATTCCATAAGTGTTATATATAATAAATATATAATTACATGTAATATATAATTAAATGATTATATTAGTTTACATTGCCAAAAGTCTTTTCAAACCTAATACCAAAAGCAAGAATCATACAAATAAATATGTCAGTGTGGCTTCACAACCATTCAAAACTTTTATAGGGAAAAACATTACCATATACAACTTAAAAAATACAAACTAGAGGGTATGGTTATAAAATTTAGCAGCACAGATTTAAAGCTCAAAATACTATTGTCAGTCAATAAAAACATATCATCTCCTATCCCCTCCAAAGCAAAAACATAAAGTAACAATTTAAAAATAAGACAAGAAAAATATAAAATAATTCATTTTGATAATTAAAGCAATGAATTTTCTCCCATTTAATTGAACTGATATAAACTCAAGAAGATACATCCCCATATTAGGCTTAGGTAAAGCAAGTATGCATCTCATTCCATTTTGATACAATATAAATTGGTCTATTGTTTTTAAAGGCCTTTAAAATATACCAGTAGTAAAGTGCTTGCTACACAATCATCAGTACCTGGATTGGGAACCCCAGCACCCATGGAAAAAGCTAAACTTGGAAGTGTGCTCCTGTCATCCCAGTGTGAGAAGCTGGAGCCAGGAGGACCCCTGGGGCTCATTGGCTGACCAGTTTAGCCAACTGGTTAACTCCAGGTGCAATTAGAGACCCTGACTCAAAAATAAGGTAGAGAGCAACTGAGGAAGGGACCTCTGACCTCTATACATGCACTGGCACCTATATATATGGTTTATACAACCCAGAACTACTCCATTGATAACCAGGTGAATAGGAGGGGAAATATTTAAAAACAATCTAAAAACAGTCTTTTTAAATTTTTCAGCATATTTTTGATAAGATTTAATTGTCTTAATTGGCCAGTGGTGAAAATTCAAATAGCTATACACTTATGTAATAAAAGGCCCTTTAGAAAGTCCCTCACTGCGGGAAGAGAAACGGGAGCAGCAGCAGTGGTTCCAGCCAAACTGAAATTCTAGCGCACACAGGGTGACTGCTGGGTTGGATTGCTTCCAAATGAGGCAGAGGCTCCGATTGTCTCCTGCACAGAGGTGTGAAGCGGCACTGACTAGCAGATGGCAGGATGGGAAATCCTTCAAAGCGGTGTTTTTAATAACTTCATTTGCTATTTACTATCACATAGCTTTGACCCCAAAGGACATTGGACTCTCTTCAATTAATCCTCTACTCAAATATTTTATGAAAACTAGATGCTGCTTTACAAAATACATATATTCAAATTAATATATGACCCAAGGAAAGTACTGGAAGGCTTGGGCTCAAAAAGGCAGTAGGAGGATTCATTTGCCATTTCACCAATAAGGACATATGGGCACACTCAGATGTTACTGATCCATCCTGCAGTTGAGTCTTTGATCCACTAGTCCTTCCCAGTGAGTCTACTGGCACTTTGGGCCAGGATAACAGGCTGAGTGATCTGACTGCATCTCTAGCCTAACAATCGTATCCAAACAACAACGCCCTACTAACTTCTCCATTTGTGTGTGTGCGTGCGTGTGTGTGTGTGCATGCGCATGTTATTGTGTGTGTGTGTGTGTGTGTGTGTGTGTGTGTGTGTGTGTGTGTGTGTGTGTGTGTGTGCAGGCACACATGTGCTGATGTGCTCGCCTGTGCATGTACTTGAGACCAAAATTTGACATTTAGCGTCTTCCTCTTTCTTCCCACCTTATGTTTCAGACAGCTCCCTGAACCTGGAGCTCACATTTAGGAGAGACCAACCCACCCTGACATCTACCTGTCTTCCCTAACAGAGCACTGGTTGAAACACATATGCTGTCATGCCTGGTTTTGACATGAGTGCTGAGGATCTGAACTCAGGTCCTCATGAACCAAGCACTTGATCCACTGAACCACCCCCCAGTACCCAGTCTTTTTTGAACTTATTGGGAGTTTTGTTAAGGAATTGGCTCGAGGGGTTATTAAAACTAAAAAATGTAGCAGTCTGCTCTGTGGAAGTTAGAGAAACAAGAAAATTGGCAATATAATTCACTACAAGCTCCAGAGTCCAAGAATAAGGAATGCCGATTCTGAGGACAGGGAAAAGAAATGTCTCGGGTTAGAGAGAGAAAATTCAAGCTTCCTCTGTCCTTGTCTAACAGATGAGGCCATGGTGCATTGTCAAGGGTACTCTTCTGCACTCGGCCTACTGATTTTTAAGTGTTTGTTTCAGACAGACAGACACACACACACACACACACACACACACACACACACACACACACACACACACACATTGGAGAGTAATATTTAAGCAGTCATCTTGGCTCATTTTAGCCAGCACTGACTTTTCCTTTAGTTCACATATGAAATGATGCATTTTATTATGACACCATCATACGTATATATCATTGTACTTTGCTCATATTCGCTCCCTGCCACCCTCTCTCTTCCTTTCTCCTCACCTGTCCCCTTTCCTTCAAAAATAAAGTTCCTTTTCTGTTCTCTGCTTTTATCTCATATTAATATATATACATATTTATGACATAATATATCATGTCATATATATTCTGCCATATATAATATTATGTTATATATGTATATACATATGTATTCATATGTATTGAAATATAGACCCAGAATATAGACTGCTCCAATTTTAAAAGCATCCAGATAATTACAGACTCAGTTAAATCCATTTGATACAATGGTTTTGTGGGTCCCTCTATGTATATCAGAAGCTCTTTAATATTTTCATTCTTATAAAACTCAGTCCTACTTTGTAACTTACTCCAAAAGTCATAATGAACACATCATTGCATGCTACATGCCTGCTTTCTTCATTTTTAAGTGTAACCGCTTAACTGTTCCATCCATTACAAATGTAGTGTGATCATCTTCACTCCTTGCTATTGACCTCTCTGACCCCTCCCTCATTCCTGTTGACCTCTTTTTTCATCCTAACCAGTTCTTCTAATGCTCTCAGTCCTCCTTGTGCTCTCTTGTTTCTCTTGCCCTGATGAATTGAATTAGGACCTCGAGAGCTTCATCCACATCCATGTTGGGAGGCTGAGGGGCTCAATTTTTTGCGGCTCTTATGCAGGTATTCACTGCTGCTGTGTGTTCGTGATGGCAGTAACCATGCCACATCCTGAAGACAGCATTCCACAGCTTTATGTCTTGAAATGGCATTATGACAAAAGTGATGAAATCGGACCTGAAATATGAATAACAATAACATACTTCATACCTGTGTAAAGTATCAGTTCAAACATCCAGCCACCCCAGCCAGGATGTCCTGAGTACCTTAATGTAAACTTCAAAGCAAAACATTTCACATAATAAGAATCACCAAGCACAATGACATTTCAAACGAATTTATGCCTTCTGACTAATTGACTTCCTTAGCTATGCTAATGTATTCATGTCTCTCTCCTTTATAGTTCAACAGATAATGCTATAGAACTAACACTCTGAGATTAAAGAACAAAGAAACTAAAGACTTCTGTGAGCATCTTTCCCAAAAGAATCCAGATTATATATTTTTGCATATCTACAAACATTTTGTTTCTGTGTCGAGTTTATTTCTTCTCAGAAGACAGCCATATTTAATTAGACACCACAGCCTAAGGGAAAAGCTTCAACTCTTTCTGTTTAGACTGGACCAACCCAAAGAGGAAAAGACTTACCAGCTTGTCTCCTGCTGTCATTTCAAAACCTGCTGAGCGAAAAGGCAGTTGCAGAGGTAATCCATCCCATCTGAACTCTGTGCTTTCTGTCATTCCCAGGTGGTGCTGGGGGCCAGCAAGGCTTCCTGGGCTGCATCCGCTCCTTGAGAATGAATGGAGTGACACTTGACTTGGAAGAAAGGGCAAAGGTCACATCTGGATTCAAATCTGGCTGCTCAGGCCACTGCACCAGCTATGGGGCTAACTGTGAAAATGGAGGCAAATGCATCGAGAAATACCATGGCTACTCCTGCGACTGCTCTAACACAGCCTACGATGGGACATTCTGCAACAAAGGTACGGCAGAGCTGGCATCCAGTCCCATCTGTAGACATCTTTATAACCAAGTCATCTGTCCAGTGCTTCTTCAGCTGCGAATGGTTGCCTTTGTTTTTAAGTGTGAGGTGAATTCCTCTCCCACCTTAGGAGAGAACTTCTGATTGTTCTTCACCTTTATTGTTTACTAGATGAGAGAATTGACCTTGGTACACAATTCCCCGGAGCCTAGCACTGACTGAAACATTACAGTGTAAAGAGTCTCGCCATGTTGAAATGATGAGTGACAAAGTAAGAGCCCTCTAAAAGGGGACTCGGGCTTAACCATCCCACATCAAGATCAATGGTCAAATGTAGCCCATCGATACTTGTGTCCCCCCACACACACACACCTACCAGCTGCTAAAGCTCGAAAGTGTCTCTGCTCAAATTGTCATTATCATCATCATTACTAATCTTACTCAAAACACCCTTATGGGTGGGTCTCAGCCTACCTCAACCTACAGAGATACTGAAATATGCTCAATCAACTTAGAACATCCTTTATTTCAGTATTAGTCTAATCTTTAATGAGCCCTTGAATCTGTAGTAAATTCCACATGAACAATAAAAATACAAGAGCCCAATGAATATACATGTTTTCACTGGGATATACTCTGTGATCACTGAAAGAAATTTACTCAACTTGTGAAGCTTAATTTCCCATAAGAAACAAGAAGAGTAAAAAGAATAGCAGCTGGCACTTCTCCTAAGCCACAAAAGCCTGCAAATCACCCTTCTCTTTCTAAGGGAACATATAGCATTGGGGAAAGTTTGCTGTAAGCTGTTGCTGTGTCTCTATCTAAGAAGCTTTCCATAAGTACTCATTCATACTTTCATGGATACACAGAGGGTTGTTTACGCTGGCATTATTCACACAAGATGCCACACACAGAAGGAATTGTTCCACAATATTTGCCTGTACATCCAGGCTACTGTCTGGCGGGGCTGGAATATGAGCATACAAATTAGATCAGACGGGATTTGAAGAATGAGCATGAGACAAGAACAAAGGTGGAAAGGAACACCATCGCTGAAAAATACCAAGACACATTAACAGGGCCATTACATTGCATTTTTCTGCTCAGAACAACATGCTTCCGTGATTTTCCCGTGGCATACAATGGAGTGGGCTTGCAGAACACATCAATTTTGCTCTTGTAGAAATGACAGTCTTGCAATTACCACTCATTGTGCTTGATGCTAATTTAGTGCAGTCCATTCCTTTGCCAATGTAACGTCTGAATGCAATCAAGTAAGTGCTAATGCCTAAGACGTTGCACTGTGTAAGTAACAATTTAAAGCAAATCATGGTCCCCTTCTTTCTGGGGAGTTAAGTTAAACACAGCAGTTCACACAAAACCTCTGGGGGTTAATAGGCAATATTCATGAAAGGGCATCTGCCTTTCCCTGTAGCCAGCAATCAGAGATAAAGGTAAATGAAGCCTATATGTTTCCTTTGACATTGTCTCAAAGCGTTTGTACAAAAGACATCTAAATATTCTCTTACTACCTGTTTATTACAATGAATTTGCATTGGCTCAGGGGCTTTAACAAAAAAAAAATCCACTGAAAACTGTCCGTATATTTGGAAAGCATTTGTGAGCATCCTTCTGAGTGGTGATAAGTACCACCTTGCCTTGGCAAAGGTGACAGCAGTGCTAGTTTAGAGAGACAACATAGCCACACAGATTCTGAACTCAGCGAGCTGCTTCTGCTGTCAATGACAGTATCTTCTCCCTGAACCTCCATTCTAACTCTCCGTCTGTCTCCTTGGGGCTCACCAACCAGGTAGCCTGGTGCCTGCACAGAAGTCCCTGTGACCATCCTTCCCACTGGAACTGCGGCCAAACAACTCACTCTCTAGAAAAAGCAGACACATCATCAAAAGAATAAACTCAGTGAAGGTTCTTCTGGGGCAATCCTTTCATGGTCTATGCTACTAGACGTGGAAAATGCCCTATATTTTCTAAGTGAACAAAGCTGGTCTCAGCCTGTCACACACAACCCAGTTACATGTTTCTATATCAAAAAGCCACGGGTAGGGACAAGAGCACTTGTTGCTCTTGCAGAGGACCCACGTTCAATTCTTAACACCCAGAGCGAGCAGGACTACCTGTAACTCCAGATCCAGGTGTCCCAGTGCCATCCTCTGGCTTCTGCGAGAACCTGCACTCATGTGCCCATACTCATACATACATACAGATATATAGAGAAATAAACAATAAAATAAACCTTTTTAATGCAAATCTATATACACATGGAGTAAAACTAATTGAGAGTTCCTAACAAAATATAACTGTGAGGGGTTTGGTTTTATTTTGTTTTATTTTACAGAAGGGTAAAAATAGTGGGACTTTTAAAACTTGTTTTTTCTTACTTTTATTTTATAGTCTTAAACCAATGATATATTATTTCTCATTTCATTACTTTTCTTTTTCTTGGAAAAAACAGTAGAAGGCAGAACTCTTAGTGGAGACGTTTAAGAAGTAGCTGTCTCTGATGAGAAAATGTCTAGTGATTAACTAGAAATTATTGTATAATCTAGTCGTGTTATCTGGAATGAATGGAGTTGCATGTCAAATGAAAATTGATGGTAATTAAGTTACTCTCGAAAATCATGTCTCAATGCATTTAAAAGAGCCTGCTCTTCAATAAACATCCAAAGGAATTATCCTTCAGTTCTCTCAGGTATATTTGCATCTTAAACAGGGGGTACTCTAGAAACTCGTATCATTAGACCACACAGCCCATCACATCATCTATCTTTAGAAAAATATGCCATTCTCCATCTTCTCAAGGTATTCACCAGCCAGCATCCATTTAACTCAACTGAGACAGGTCCATTACACAAAAAAATCATTGAAAACCCACTGGTTGAAGCCTAGATGCTCCCAGAATCAGGGGTCATCCCAGTCTTCAAAGGCAAATATATATGCGGATGTGATATCCCCAAATTCCATTAGAGACCAAATGGATAGTTGCTTAACTATGGCAAAAAGTTTTTCCTAATCGAGCCCAGTCTTTCTTGGATAGTAAAGCCCCAAATACTCAAATATGTTATGATTACCAAAGCCATTCTCAACAACTATCATAAATAAGCAACATATTGTGAAGTGTATAATGTCCCTGTGCCTCTTACGTGGTTTTATAGAAAATGAAAAATAATAGGTTTTTGGAGTTTAATGGTAGCCCCTAAATTCATCTCCACCTGGAACCTGAGTGTCGCCTTGTTTGCTGATGCAGGTAAGGGTCAATGTAAATGAATTAGGGAAGAGCCTAAATCCTAAGAGATAGTCCTTATAAGAAGAGGGAAAGGCACAAAGATGCATTGCCACATAGATAAAAGGGCTGTGTGAGGAGAGAGCTAGAAATTAACGTGACGGGACCTCAAGGCTAGAGCTTCCTACAGCCAGCAGAGTCTGGGGGAGGCAAGGAAGGATTCTTCTCTAGAGCCTTGGTAAATGTGTGGTTCACTTATTTAACTATTAGTTACAGGATGTCAGCAGTCCATGTGTGCTGCTCTACTAGAACATCCAAGACTGGGTGATTTCAAAAGAAAATAAGTTCATTTGATTCATTGTTTTAGAAGCTGAGAAGTTCAAGTTCAAAGGATCCATATTTGATGAGTGCCTTCATGCTGCAACATCCAATGGTAGGAGGAAAAAGAGCAAGAAATCATGAGAAACCAAGCATGTGGGAGGAAACTGAATCTGTCCTTTCATCTCAATCCATTCTCATGATAACTAACTCATTTCCCACCATCGCTGAATTAGTCCATTCAGGAAGGCAGGGCCCTGGAGACATGCTCACCTTTCCGCATACTGTTAACACATTTGCAGTGGAGATTGAGTTTCCAAAGACACATTCAAACCATAGTAAACATCTAATGTGCCTGGGAACTTTGTCTGTGTCATTGAGTCTGGCCATACTGATATTTTCAGAACATTTCGATGACTCATTCAAAATCAAAACATTCTGCAGTGCATTATAGCAACACATGAGTCCCATATCCCTCTGACAACTAAAAACATTTCCTAATGATCCCTTTATTTATCCAAGTTCAGCACACTTTGCCCATATTTATCTACCAACCCACGGCAGCAGTTGAAAAAAAAAAGGAATCTTTAAACCATTTTTAACTTTAGAGACTTCTATGTTATTCTCAGGCTTTCGTTTATTGCTTAGATAGAATCAAAATCTGAATAATCATAGTCATGAAACTGCTAAGTGATAGGTGGATGGCTCAATCATCAGTGTTACCATCATTGATAACAATACAAATGTGCATCCCCTGCAATGTGGTCCATCAAGTCTCTTCTTCCTGTTGAGTTCTGTGACATTGACTAAGATTTTATGATCTGTATTATTAGTGGCCAGTTCATCTCTCTACTTAGAAAATGGATGAGGGAATAGTTATGACTATTAACCACGGACTTTCTTACCCGTATGATATAACCTTGAAAAATTTGAATGCCACTGAGCCTCATCTTCAGGAATGGCCACTGTGACTGTGATGATGACATTGAATATTCTGAGTTTATTTCCAAACAGAGAACCTAACACACTAAGGCCAACAGCAAATGCTATTTTGTATTCTCTGAACTTCTTCCCTTTTTTGTTTACATTTTTTTTTTATTTTTACCCTACAGCATATCATCTCTTAAGCCTTCTCTAGAAGATTTTACAGTCAGGTGTATACCTGACATCTTTTCAGTGACCTTTGAGCACTAAATTGCTACTTTAGTACTTGAGGAGCAAATATAAAAGTCTCATAAAAACATCTTCTTCAGTTAATATTGGACCCACTAATAGTATTCTGAAGGGGAAATTAAGTCTCATAGCATAAGCACTGAAAGACTACGATCCTGGAAGATGCAGCTAGAAACACTACCCACCACATCCAGTAGCACAACCCTTGGTGCAAAGTGTGTACCTACCCCCTTGTCAAAGCCAAGGTGAGTTACCACAGCAATTCCTGC